GCAATCAGAATGCCCACTGTTCACTGCAGGATGCTCTCATATGTGGAGTAATAGATGAAACAGCCTAAACATCGAAGGAACACTTTTTGGAAAATTACATGGAAAATCAAACGAAAAAAAAAAAAAGAAAAACAGGAAAAGATATCTTTACTAGCCTAGCTAACTAAAAAGTCCAAGTATTGCTACATGAGTTAGGAAAGTACAATAACGCCAAAACTGAACCTCTGTAGAAACAACCCAAGAATGCTTGCTGCAATGCATGAGGGGTGAACAAATGCTTATAAACTTCTCAAGCTCTTGCATGTGACATACCCACACCAGAATGATCCCTTGGCTAGAATGGGGTTGCACTGTATTTACAGAGAATGGTTAAGTTTCAGTTCAAACAACAGGTAAGCTTTCTTCTTGTTTAAGAGTTTGCAGAACAAGAACTCTCATACTGCAATTTTCTCAGATATGGCCTGAAATGAACACAGTTCTGAGAGCAAGCACTTATACTCTGACAACGCTGGGTGGCATTGTACAATATGTAACATTATGAAGTAATAGAATATGTGTACACATTTTAAAAAGTTTATCATCTTCTGCCCTTCCAGCCCTCAGACTGTAAAAGTAGTGAGAAGAACTCACATCTAGTTTGGATACACGTATTTGTGCAGCAGTTTTAGCTCCTGAGCACATGGTCTTTATTGCCAACTCTTAATGAAGTGTTCATGCCTTTGTGTATAAACAGCTCCACTGTGAAGAAGTTTTGAGAACAGCCTTGGTCATCTTGTTAGACTTGGGTTCAGCAGGGTCAGGGGGTAGTGAGGTAAAAGAGGGTTTTGCACTTAGTCATAAGTGATGCTGGAGGCAACTAAAATCATTAGTATAGACTGGCTGTGTGGGGGATTCCATTACCAGCATAGAAGGAGAGATTCACCACCCAAGAGTGGTTTCAGAGAAATGCTGCAGGGTGGAAATTCCATTCTGACCTGAACTTTGGAATAAGGGGCTTGTTTCCTATTGGGGAACAAGAAAGTAGAAGGAAAATAATTTTCTGTGCAGAGAAACAACACCCATGTGTCAGGTGACACAACTAGCCACAGATCTGAATGACATTCCTGATGATGAGTGAAATTTGTTTTCCTTTCAGTTCTTTGGTGTTTTATAATATCTAGCAAGTAAACTTGTGCAAGAAATGCTACTGAAAACACACATTAAGTAGGTTCAGCATAAATTAGTGCTTACAACCAATGACAGAAGGAAAGCATTTTTATGGGGCTGTTCAGACCATCTGTGTCAGATGTCAAATTGCTGCCCCATTTTAAGATTGCCATCTTTTCGCAGTAATACATATAATTTAGGAAGCCTGCTCATGTGTATAGAAACTCAATGTGGCTGACTATAAAATAGACAGTACTATTAAAATTTCTTTCTGTGGGACCAATAAAACTATAGGTGTGCACTTCACAGGCATGAAATAATAAAAGCCACTGCATCCTTTTTACTCTATTTATTTGTAATTGCACCTGGTCTTGTACATTCTCTTACTGCTCTCCTCCATATTTACGTTTACATGTCTGAGAATATAAACACATTACCTTATTTCTCCTTTTAAAATCTTACATTACATTAATGATTCGCTTTTCTACATAAACCTTTCTTTGCCCTACCCCCACCTAAACAAAGAAGTGGAATTTGGAAACATAGGATTAGAAATTACTTTCTGAGTCACTCAGTCTGGTTCCCTATTATAGGCAACCGTGAAATCTCTTTTGTAAAGTAATAAGGTGCCGTCATAAAGACAGTGATGTTATTTCCCCCCTTATACCTATTGTAAGGCTATTTGGGAAACTTAGTTTCCTGATGGTTGGAATTTTTCTTCAGATTTAAAATCTAAATGCGTTTGTACTGCATATATCTACTTGTGTCTTGACTATCATTACCCTTAATCAAATAGTATATTACTTTATCTCTAATGCCTTTCTGGACAATTGAAATTTATTCCTTTTTTTTTTTTTTTTTGCACAAGCCAACTCTTGTAGTCTCCCCTTGCAATACATTCTTTTCATCATCCTAGGAGCAATTTGGATCATCCTGTCAGCAAAGTATAAATAATTGCAATGGCAGCAAAATTCAAAGGGTAAAAAGGGAAGCTAGGCTTTTTATCTGTCTAAAAAACAAAGAAACCCACAAAATATTTACACCAGTCTTGCTGACGTTCTTTAGTTTTGCAGAAAGATGGATTTTCTCAAGAATGGCATTGTCATTTGTGTTGTATTTTGAGCTTTTAGAAGGAAAGCTGCTATACAATAGGTATAAAAGGAATTTACTTGTTCTAATGAAACCTCCATGATGAGAAAACTTTTGCAGTAGAACTGAAGATCCTAATTTATTTCTGCTTATCGTAAAGTACACAGATTTTACCTCACCTGACAGAGAACTTCATCTAAGACTTATTTTTTTCTAGACCAATAAGGATTATACTGAAGTTCTGCTTCTCCCTGGTTAGTATAAACTAATTTACTTGAGTTTAGCAATAGCAGGTGTCTAATGTTTATGCATGTGAACAACCATATTAGTTCTATAGCAGAAGTTATATAGGTATCAAAAGTTGTGTTATAACTTCTATAAAATCATGGTTGTATCATATTAAAGTCTACAGTTATTTCATCAAGATTTTGTGAGTCTCTTTAGCTGAAATTGAAATGCTCATATATGTATGTGCATGTATGAAAATATATATTCATATAAATTTAAAGAACGACTTTTAGACAGTGTTTTGTCTTAGAACACTACAAAGTCAGAAGGATTTTAATGGAGTTGCTATTGGTTTACAAGTTCATTAGGTTTGCAATCAATAAGAACCAGAAAAATGAAAGAGTGCTACTAATAATGAATGAGCAGTGTTTTCATTCCCACAACCACAAGTTTTGAAAATCTTAAATGGATGAAATCAGAGCATTTAAAAGTTTAATCTACATCTGGACTTTGCTTTCAGAAGTACCAGTCACTCTGGATATTTCAGTTTTCTCTACACTTGATTACCCATTATTGAAACCATCAGTTATCCTTAGTGCTGACTGTTGCTATGCATCGGGTCCTAGATATTTTGAAATAATCAGTCAAAATGGCATAAATTCAAACAGCTCCTAAACACCTATGGCTCTTCTTTTCATTAAGTACTATTCCAGCCAACTTTATGAAATAGATTTAACGTAGGGGACTGGGTCTTACTGGTCTATAGTCTAAACTATAACACTCTGACTGTGCTAACCATTGGTGAGATTATTTTCAGTACCTGTAACCCCTTTTCTTCTCTCCTGTGGGCACCTTGTCTTTGTACCTTGTCCCTTGGCAGGTCATGTAATGCTGATAAAGTAACTCCTGCCTGTGAAGCAGTCATATCCCAGCCAGGACCAGCAAGCTCTGAAGTTATTTCTACTTGGCTTCCTGTGTTCAAGCCCTTCACACACAAGTTTCAAACGCAGACAGGAAGAGACAGGGGCAGCTTTCCAGAGCCACACGACTTCCTTCAGGCCCTGGTATGAACAAAATTCCTAGGGACTATATTAAGAGACCATTAATGTGGATGGTCAGAAGGTCTCAGTTTAAGGTCATCCTATTGTATTTTAGAAATGAACCCCACATCTACATCACACAGACCTAGCAGCACTTAACACAGTGTGCCTAAATACTTTTAGAAGCTGAATGCCTAAGATAACAAAGCTGTTCTCTGAAAATCTGTTTTTTTTAGGTGTTAACCTATTTTCATTCGTTAATAGTAATAATTTTAATTATGAAAAAGTAGTTCAAATTGGACATTAAATAAGCTGAACATTTGGCTTAAAAAAATTAGTAGAAAACTAGGAGTCATCATCACCAGATAATAAATAAATAATAAATGTCAGTGAATGTATTTCAACTTAAAAAAGAAGCCACAAAACCAGCCTGCTAAGTGCCACAAGTTACCTGTTGCTTTCTTCACACTGTTCTTTTCATTGTCAGTCATGTAATAGACATTATCCTGGCACCATAGGTCTGAATCTTGGTAACTGATTTGAAGAGAGTGGGAAGCATTTTAGTATTTCAAAAAAGTAGCAGGTGGAAAGTGACTTAGTGAAGATGACAGTTGACTGAAAAAAAAGGCAGCTGCCTACTCTTTACCCAAATACATGCTCTTTGGAGCAGCTGAAACTGAAAATTTTGACACTAAACTATGCAGCTTGCTTTACTTCATGCTATATCATCACATCCAGCAGTATTAACAGCATACATCAACCAGAATATCTTCTCCACAGAACATGCAAAATGTTTACAAGCTGCTCTGCATCAGATATGTTTTAATGCAGTAACTGCTGAAAGTGGAGGACCTCTCAAAACGTACCTTTTGTTCTACAATTAGCTTATGGTTTCTCAGGCAGGAAATCAGCTTCAGGGGTGGTGGTTTTTCTGCAGCTAACATCACCAACGTAGGAAATGTCTGATCTTTGCAGGTTTTTAAATGGATAGCTTTGTTCAGAGTCAATGGAGAAAGTTAAGTATCTATCATCTCTGTAGCTATCTGAATATATCTTATAAAGCTATAAATAAATGGATGTAGAAATTACTAAAATTTCTTCACATTCCAATATTTTTACTTTCTGTTGTCTTGAGAGCCTGCGTATTTATGAAAGATGAAAGCCAAATGAAAGAAATTACATGCTTATGCAATAATATCGTAATAACTTTGTTTCCTCTAAAACATGAACAAGGGAAGTTTTGCTTGTGTGAGGATTGCCTGATATAGGTTATTTAGAGAAGTATCTGACTGATACAGGGAAGAGCATCTAATCTGAAAAGGGGAAGAGCAGTCCTGCAGCTGTGACACTGGAACTGCTGGATGCCAGTCTTCTATTTCTGGCAAAATTTCCTCCGAGATCATGTACAATTCATAGTCTCTTTCTACTAATGTCTCATTTTCACTTTTCCTTTCTGCAGAAAACAGTTACAAATACCACAATCTGAAAAGTGCAGTATTCCTTCATTTTGCTGTATTCCTCAATTTTTTTATTTTTGAAGGAAACATGGATTATAAACATCTACTTAATAGAATACAATGTATTCACAGTGTATTATAATATCTTGTGATACACTGTGAATACTCACAAGTGCTCACAAGATATGTGGCAATTTAAGAGTAAATTAAAATTGGATGTAGCGTGGGAAGCTAGGATGACATGTAATGTTTTCACCTTGACAGCCTTTCAGTGGAGGTGGCACAGCAAAAGATCTTGACACATCTTGACACCAGTGTGAATGCCTTCAAGTGAAAGGCAGGTAATTTTTTTCAGATGCAGTAAGAATCTAAACTTATCAGTAGTCACAAGACAAAAAATCCAGAAGAACTTCTGCATTTCCTAGATAAACACTAATCTTATGTGTATTTTTAGGAGAAAAAGTAAGTAACTATAAAGAAAATAAATTTTAAAGTAACATATAAATAGCATATATGTCAAAATAGCTACATATAGATGGTTAGAACTAGTTTGCCTAGTAGAGTAAAGCTGTGGAAAAAGTCCAATATGGCAATTTGGAAAACAGAGATATTTTGAAATGTCATGTTAAAACCAGTGCAAAATTCCAGAGATCACAAATAACAGAGGAAATTTAAGTATACAGCAGTAGATTCTTATTTGCCTTTTCTGTTATCAGTCTCAAGAAAATTTTCTGTTCTGTTTTGTTCTTCTCTTAAGTTCTGATTCTCTATGTATTTAGTCTCCTTCGGTCTCCTTTTATGTTTTCTTCTAAAATAATTAAAATAATAGATAAGCAGACTTAATTCTGATCCTGTAAAATAAAAAGTTTTCCTACATGAAAATTCAAGTGTATTTAACAGGGTTGCTGACTTAACATTAAATACGGTCAGTTTTCATTTATCTAAGGTGATGAGGAATGAGATAACACAGTTAAAACATACAGAATACAACAAGTAATAAAACAAAATGAATATATGATGTAATAAGAAAAAGATTGACCATTGAACAGCGCTTAGCTGCACAGTGCAGACAGTTTCAAAAGCCTGCAAGCTCCCACAAGGAGGCATGCCACGTACATGTGTCCCAGCAACGGAAGCTGCAGATCCACAGTTGTGTGATGCCACTCCTAAGTGACAAATTCTTTCCCCTGACATTTGGTCGCCTAAGATTGCACCAGACAGACCTACAGAGCAGAGATCCAGTTCCCTTAGTCATACACAGAAAGCTGACTGAACTTCTCTGCACTCAATATGCTGAGTCTGTGAAATGGTTTAAGATCCACCCACAAACAATAGAAAGGTATCTATACGTGTAAGAGGTTTCAGGATTACGGCTTTATAGGTAACAAGACTCTAACTACACTCACATATAACCCTTACAACAGTGAGAAATCAGTGCTATTTGTTAAAGTAACCATAATGAAAGTAGGAGTAATAGATGTGACCTTACTACAGTCACCTACATTAATGCTGAATGTTTGTGTCTGGCTTTCTTTGTTTGTCAGTAGGCTATTTAGATATGAAAATGGGTGATAACAAAGTTATACTGTGATCTGTTAAAAGTCATCATTGTCTAAATTGAGCAGTTTGGTTTTTTCTCCATCATAGCTGCTAACCAGTCCCACGTTGTGAAAATACACTTTGTGCACCAAACAGTTTGTATAAGCTTATTTGAAGGTATGCTCCCTTTACTTATTTGCTTTTCAAGATGAGTGGGACTAAATAGCCGTTAGAATTCTTTATATTTATTACAAAGGTAACAGGATAGGGCCATATAAGAGAAACGTACGTCTAAGTCACACAGTACTACTGTTTCTACCCAGTTAGAATTACTGATGCTTTATGAAAAAAGAGGTTCTATAGGTCCGTGGGTGTTTAGTGGGACTCAATTCTAAAAGACCTAGATTCTATATTTAGAAGTCATCTTAGCCACTGATTTTCTAGACAAGCAGTATCATCAGTTTGTACCTCTTCTACCTAATAATACATTCTCCCTTGTTTATTGGATTCCAAGCTTTTCCTAATAGGTTCTGCCTCCTGCAGGTTTTATGTAGGATCTAGCATAGAGAGGCTGAAATGCTAGCTAAGTCTAGCAGGCACATCTGTAATACAAATGTGTAAAAAGAAAGGGAAGGTAAAAAGAGAAAATAAATAACAGTGAACATTCTGGTTCATGTACAATTATATTTTCTACTGGAGGTAAAATAAGTGAATTTGTGGAAAGAAATCAGATTAAAGCAACTCCATATATTAAAAGAATGGAAAAAGAATTGGGGGAATATTAAGTAAACCCACAAATTAATTATCTACTGTCATTTAAATATTCAGTAGACAGCCTTTTACAGATAGAGGTTTAAGAGGAGCCCAGGACCACACAGCAGAAAAAAGACAGTTAGGAACAGGGGCCAGATTTCCCATCCCAAGTAGTGGGGGTATCATAACACCACCACAAGAAACAACTGTGTAACTGATTAGCGTAGGATGATTAGGGGGAAAACTGAGGAAGGAAAGTCTGTGCATGATTGTCAAAATAAGCTTTCTTAAAACCACATATCAGGCTGTTCCTAGGCCAAATAGTGTGCTTTCATTATACATATGCACAGCAGAGCCCTCCAGTGACATGAGCACTGCTGTGCAGTCTATGAAACTAACCACCACCATCATGAATATTATCTGCAGATTTATTTCTTTGAACACGGTCACTATTGATATGTTAAAACAGCTTACTTCTGCCCCACTGTACACAGAAAATCTCCATTCCATAAAAGAAACAGAGAATGGGGTTTAAAGAGAGCCTGTGGCTTCTGTTCTCTGCTGTACTCCACTAAAGTTCTCCTTTGAATTTGCAGATGAAATTTAGCTACTGCTTGGTTTTGTCCAAGTCCAACTCTAGGCCAAGATACAGCAGCACAACCCTCAAGTCTGCACTGAGTTCCTAGAACTACATATGTTCTATTGCAAAAGGATCTACTAATCATTCTATCTAGTGATACCTTTGTTGTAAATTGTTTAAATTACGAGACTATTCTGAAAGTAATTTCAGACAACTGATCCGTAGTGATGAAAAATACTTCTATAACATTCATAGCACCCTTCAAACATTCCAAAAACCAAAGGACACTAATTGTGTAGGCACAGCTTTAAGCTTAAAAACCTTTTTATGCAAGAAATTAAGTCTTCATCAAGAAAGTAACTGTTGAAATCTTAATATCTTTCACTGACAGCCACATTTGAAGAGCAATTTTATAGCATAATGATCCTTGTTGCATAATTTGGACAAGCTTTTGTTCTCATTTAATTTCTCATACACAGCTTGCTTTACCATCTCTCCTTCCCACACCAATTGAAAGGGAGAGATCAAAAGTCAGGAGAGAAAACATCAAGATTTGGGTTTGGAGTTAAACTTCTAAAGACTTCAGAACACCTCCTACTTCAAACATGCTATGCCATATCTGACTAAAGCCTTGGATGTCTCCTATAAGACTTGGTCAGCTGCATTCCAGCTGAGATCCCACTGTAGGCACAAAGAAAAAGTAGCAACTTTAAAGCCCCCTTTAGACTTCTAGTCAGTTTTCACCCGGGGCTAGAAGCATTTAAACTTCCTGCACTTTGTTTTATACATTCTTAAGGCATTTAGAATATGAACCTGCCCAGAAGTGCCAGAAGAGGCTTTTTTTCTCTTTTACTTTACCTCATCTCCAAAATCTAGAAGTTAGTTCTTTAGTCTAAACCTTCCTTCAGTAACGATCTGACAGGCTTCCTCAAAATAGGCCTCTGTAGGACTAGGCAGGCTATAAAATGGAGTTTCAGATTCTTGCTTTGTTATCAGTGTAGCTAGAGGAGAGGTTTACACCCATCTTCTAGACAATTTCATAGCAGCTACAGCATTTGCCAAGGAATGCAATTTTTGCTTTTTTGTGCCCAAGAGGGTCAAATATGCATCATTTTTCCATTAGAAAACTGTCTAACTATCAGTTGTTACTCGTAGTACATAAATTGCTTGATTGTGACATACAAGAGGTCAGACTAGACAATCTAAGAGTCATTTTTGCTTTAAACTCCGACAATCTATGAAAATTAATGTGTGGCCATAAATAAACAAATAAGGCTTTTCCCTATGAGTCATTACTTTCACAATGTGATAACAATTTGCTAAGGCAACAATGAAAAACTAATGTCCTTCTGGAATATTTATGACAAGTTCTGTGACACCAGACATGATGCTTCATGTCCCATCCAACTTTTCCCTTGGGTCTGTCCAAGTCAATGCCTTTGTACTCTCAATGGACTGAGGATTTCAGCAGGTGAGCTGAGTCCTATATATAGTTTGTGAAACACTTCTAATCTCTAGTATTCTATAAATGTGAAGTAATATAAGAGAAATGTTAATTTCCTTTCCATGTACAGAATTATACCAGTCCAAACCTTTTATTTCCTCCAAGGAAATTTTATTAACCCTTAAATTCTAGAAACATAGGTCTTCAGAATGAATGAGTTGTCTCAATAATGCATTCTCAGCACGATTATTTTGACGGATCAAAATCATCTCTCTTCAGAGAAGAACCCGGTACTGGGTTTGCATGACAAGGTTTTGGGGGGCTGGAGGTGGGGCTACAGGGTGGCTTGTTTGAGAAGCTGAGAGAAGCTTCCCATATGTCCAACAGAATTAACGCCAGCTCTAAGCCAGACTCACCACTGGCCAAGGCCGAGCCCATCAGGGACAGTGGTAGCACTTCTGCTATACATAACATACTTAAGAAGGGGAAAACACTGCTATGGAACAGCAGCCAGAGCCAGAAGTGAGAATATGTGATAGCAAAAGCTCTGCAGACAGTAAGGTCAGTACAGGAGGAGAGGAGAAGGTGCTCCAGACACAGGAACAGATTCCCCTGCAGCCTGTAGTGCAGACCATGGTGAGTCTGGCACCTTGAAGCCCACAGAGGTCCATGGTGGAGCAGATATCCACCTGCAGCCCATGGAGGACCCCATGCCACAGCAGGTGGGTGCCCCTAGAAGGCTGTGACCCCATGGGAAGCCAGCACTGGAGCAGGATCCTGGCAGGACCTGTGGCCCCATGGAGAGAGGAGCCCACACTGGAGCAGGTTTGCTGCAGGACTTGTGACCCCACAGGAGACACAGACTGGGGCAGCCTGTTCCTGAAGGACTGCACCCCATGGAAGGGACCCACACTGGAGCAGTTTGTGAAGAACTGCAGTCCATGGGGAGGACTCACATTGGAGAAGTTAATGGAGAACTGTCTCCCATGGGAAGGACCCTGCACTGGCGCTGGGGAAAAGTGTGAGGAGTCCTCCCCTGAGGAGGAAGGAGCAGCAGAGACAGTGTGTGATAAACTGACTGCAACTGCCATTACCCATCCCCTGTGACACTGGGGGGCATGAAGTAGAGAATTCAGTAGTAATTTCTATGCTGAATAGAAACAAAAGACTGCTATGAGTATATTCTCTGAGAAATGGAGCACTCTAGGAAAATTGAATGAGAATAAAAGATCAACAAAGCATTGACTGTTTTTTCTATCTACTACAGGCTACTTCTTATAGAACTACTAGAACTTTTAGGTTGGGTTTTTTTCCTAGTATTTTTAAACAAAAGCATGCTTTCCAGGACAGTGGCTTTAATTTTGTAGAACCTTTCCTGGGTTTTTTGCATGTACATGGGTTCTTCCCCTGGATTCCCAGTTATCATACACACATGTTAAGGTGGAAATATGCATCATCAACTTCTGTGTTAACTTTAGTCTCCTTTACCTTTCACATTTCTGTTAAATAAACCTTATTTAAACTGGAGAACGCAACTCCTGCCTTTCCATTTTGACTATTTTCTTTCTGGGTACCTCTGTTCTTTTTTAATTTTACTACTAAGATAGGAAGCAAACCAATCTTTTACCTTCTAATGCAATATTTGCAAGCTATTCAGATGAATGCTACTAGTCTTCATTTATTATTTCCATTTTGAGGAGACCATCAGTTGGGCTGCCTTGCTTACATGTTGCTTAATCTGTCCAACAGTCTACAATGTCAATAAAATATAAGCCTGTAACAATTCTAAGTGTGTTATAACTGTATCAGTCTGTATTTTAACTCAAGAAATCAGTTGTGGTTTAAGCAGCAGATGTAGAACTCTGTGTCTATTAGATGGCTTGTTCAACTCTGCGTTAATTTTAAGGTACATCCTGCAGCTTGATACACAGATAGATGTTTTGGTTTTACTGGATAACATTCTTTATTGAGGAACAGCTTAAAACATTTGTCCTTGTTAGAGATATCTTAACACCTTTTATTTAGAATTTTGTGCTCCAGAATTGAAAACCATGGGTAAAGATTGCACATGTAGTTGTTAAATCACTCTGTCACAGGCAAGTTGCCAGTTTCAGACCATTTAACAATTCAAGCACAAGAACTGCAAGTGAGAGAAAACCAGAAAAGAGAGAACAGTCCTACTAGTGTTATTAAATCATAAAATCATAGAATGGTTTAGGCTGGAAGGGACCTTACAGATCAGCTAGCTTCAATCCCACAGCTTCCACTAGATCAGGTTGCTCAAAGCCCCATCCAGCCTGGTCTTGAACACTTTCAGGGTTAGGGATAAAAATTAAGAAGGACAAAATGAAACATACTGTAAGTGCAAAATGCCATGCACAGTGTCAAGTATAAACTCCAAGTTTCAGCCTGAAATGCTTGAAAACATCAAACACTTGGAACAGAAAGTGTCTACACTGAGTTGAGTTGACCAGTATAGTATCATCAATAGCTAAGCTGCTTTGAATCAGACACACTCTTTAACTTTCACACGCTGCTTTCCAAGACAGTATGTGACTTCAAAAAAATTGTCCCTTTCCTTAGAGTGGTAAAAGGCATTTTTTCAAATTTCTCAGCCTAATCAACAAAACTTGTAAATTGAGATCAAATTTGTAGCCCAAATGAAACATGGCTTAAATAGAACTATATTATTACTATAGAATCTTCAAACCATGGTTCAGAGTAAATTCATGTTGAATGTCAGTTTGGAAGACATCTTTCTAACCTTATTTTCTTACTTCAAATACACTTAAGTTAACCTTACATGTTGAAAGTATTCAGAATATACAGATTGTTTTGCTTCTGATATAATTCTGCATGGTTGCAAGTAGGGAGACTGTTTCATGACAGTGATCCCCCAGCACTTTTGGTCCTGGGCAAAATTGTTTACTGGAGACAAGACAAAGCAGCGGAGAGAGTGGGAGATGGAAAAGGGACATAACTAATATAAACACAGGCTGAACAGCACACAGAGATGGCAACTGGGAATTAAATAATTCCTCATTAAGCAAGAAAGCCAGGAAAGGCACAAGAATGAGTATGTGTTCAGAATAAGCTGTGCTAGTAGTCAGACTCTGAGAACATCAATACGTAAAGGCCCATTGTGCAGTTACTTTTTAGTTTCTCCTGGATGGGTTGGTCTGTCTTTCTGCTCTCACGATCTTTCTTATTCACAATCTGCCCTTATGATCCTTCTGCCCTCCACTTGTTTGCTTGAAGTAGTAAAGCAAAAATAGCCCTTTTACTGACAGCATGAGGGATACTTACACTATTTCCCACCAGGTTCTGAGTTTGGTCAGGTAGAATAAGAGTACTTGTCAGTAAGATCTGTTTTCTGTATTCTTCAGTATGTTACTCTGCTTGCTGAAGTAACTTGTTTCTGCTTCCTCTGGCTGAGTTTCTGTTGTTTTGGCAGCTGACTGTTCTAATTGGTTACTGAAATGAGACTATTAGTAAACATTGGACTTTTTTAAAGCTCTGCTTCCTGGAGTAGCTTCCAAATTCACAAAATGCCAGGCTAAAGACAGGTGCTCATGTGGGGCTTTTTCTCCCAAAATGTAAACATACACCTATATATGGATAGTGCAAAAGTGTGTCTGAGTGTGTGTGTACAAATACATTTGTGTATCACATGCTAATGCAAAAATTGGTGTAAACCTGGCCCTCCTGATGACAAAACAGAGTTATGCCATTTACTTAATTCAGGGCAGGATTTCATCTTTAGCCTCTGAAAATTAGAATTATCTAAAAGGCCAGAAACTTAACATGTCAAATCTTAACATGTCAACTCTTAAACAATTCTTGGGGGGGGGGGGGGAATCATTAAATAGCTGTTTATGGGGGTTTTTCCCAATTTAATTTTGGAAGAGTGTAATTTGAGTTGGAATGTTAAAACTGGTTCCAAAATTAGAAGCCTACTTCTTATTTGCAAAGTCATTTTTCTGCTCCAGTCCCTGCCTGTAAATAAAGCAGAAATATGTTGAAACAGTCACCTAAAGCATATGAAAATATTTGACAAATGTTTTGGACAAAATTACTAGATAACACTTTGGTTTTAAATGCTTCTGCAAAATGTAGAAAGATTATCACCATCTCTTTTTTTTTGGGGGGGGGAACACAAAACAGCACAATCACCATGTGCTTTTTCTTCTGTGAATACTGAATGGAAAATACTTGACATGGAAATTTTTGATACATTTATCAGATCACAGCTCCCTCTTGTGTAATTCATCGTTACTACAGAAAACTAAGTGAAGTTGGGTGGAAATTGTTTAAACTCTATTATATGATACCCATTCATTTTATTCCTTTTACTTTTGTCATCAGTGATATTTTAGGTTTGGTAATTTTGTATTTTCATGCAATTTCAGTGCCAGGAAGATAATAATACTTACAGTAAGGCTGCACTAAAACTGCATTTAGGGGAATATTACTTTTGCTCAATGGCATGATTTTGACATTCCTAATCAAAATCCTGTGGGTTTACTTATGAAAATTCATGTCTAATTTGCTATTTTTTATTGCTGCTAGGTCCTTCTTCCACACAACTTTCTAGAGGTTTGTTTGGTTTTCTGTTTGTTTTTTCTCCCTGTTTTTATTTTGATGACTTGTGGAAAAACTATAGCTATTCTCCTTTGGTTTACTCTCTAGCTTTTGTGTCCATAGGTTTTCAGATCACCACAATGTGGTTGTTATGAGTTTAAACTTTGTGGTATTCTCTCTTAGACTCTCTTCAGAACTTGTAAAAGATCATGTATAAAGGAAAAGCTCGAAAGCTTTTTCTTTCTACAGCATTTTGCTACAGTGTGTTTGCTACAGCGTTTATTTCCGATTTCACACAGAAAGATTGCATTCTGTTAATTTCACTGTTATTAAAATAAGTTACCTTTGGCACAGAAACTTAAAAAGAAAAAATAGTAGAAATAAATGAAGTTGCTCTTGTAACACAGCGCAAAATCCCAAATGACCTCCCTGAAAAAGGTGTATGAGAACATAGTATGGCATAGGTAAGCAACCCCAAATTTACAAAGTGCAAACGAACCTGGTGTTGATGGTTTAACTGCCACTTAAATTGTGAATTGTGCCTCTGTGCACCGAAAATGGTGATGGCAGATGTACCTGCACAGAGCTAACGCAGGAAAACCACCACTGACTACAGCAGTTGTGAGGATCTATGGTCTTTTTTGTATCCCAATACTATCAAAGTTGACACCGCCTGTTCATTCCTCCTTTAAGAATTCAGTTTCCTCACAAAACTGCAGTGGTTTACTTTTTTAAATTAAAATTTATGGTCAAGTAAACAAGCAGACATTTCCAAGTAAACAACCAAGCTAACCCTAAAACTTGGTAACACTGCCCTGTGAGTTGCTGGAGGAGAGCGGAAGCAAACGCGGAGGTAGTGTTTGAGATGCCCCTCTCCCTGCTTGATGGGCCTGTTCTGCGCTAGCTCCCACTGCCCAGAGACCCGGCAGGACCCGGCAGGACCCGGCAGGACCCGGCAGGACCCGGCAGGACCCGGCAGGACCCGGCAGGACCCGGCAGGACCCGGCAGGACCCGGCAGGACCCGGCAGGACCCGGCAGGACCCGGCAGGACCCGGCAGGACCCGGCTGCACGCAGCCACTCGCGGACACCACCCAGCAACCGGCCCTAGCTGCTCTCGAAAGACACCGCGCTGCCGCCACAGGGCCCCAGCACCAGCAGCCGAGAGGGAGAGCCTTTAGGTGCCCATCGCGATCGCCTGAAAGCCTTAGCAGTTGAGAGAGGCTGAGGACGCGCGCAGGAATCAGGCGCCATGCGAACAAGCCGCCCCAGCCGTTGGGCTGAGGGGGCCTGATTTCGAATGCGCCAGCGCCCCAATCGGAGGCGCGGGCGGGGCGAGGCGCTGGGTTTGAGTGGTAACCGGTGGTGCGGGAGTGGAGGGTGTTTGGTTTGGATGTTGCGAGGTTGTGATGGCGCTGAGTAGGGTGTGAGAGGCGGTGAGCGGCTGGGGAGCGAAAGGGCGGGGAGGCGGCGGGCGCTGGGATGGCGGAGCACAGGCGAAGGGTGGTGCGGCTGGCGGTGCTGGAGGATCTGCGGGCCTCTTACGGAATTAAGGTGAAGAGTGGGAGCTGCCTGGAGGCGGCCGTGCAGCCCAGAGCGGCGGCTGCGGAGGTAAGTGGGGCTGAGGAGGATGGTAGCGCTGCAGTGCCTTGGGCGGACACCTTCTGGCCGGGCAGCGACGGTACCCGGCTTTCCGCCGCGGTGGAGTGGGTGAGCTCGGTGGTTGCTGCAATATGAGCAAAGCTAACGTGAGCCTGGTAGCTGGCCTTCCGTCCTCGGTGGGCATCGATTCTGGTATCGGGGACGTCACCGTAACGCTGTTGTTCCTGCTTATCCTTGATGGGGTTTAGCCCTCTCTCGGGGGGTGGGGCGGGCGGACGGACGGCTGAATCCCTTCAAGGAGAGAAGTCAGTTTTCCCCGTTTTTCCTCAGCAAGCAAATGCTCCAGATGTTCCTCAGGGTGGCCATGTCGTGATGTAGTTAGATAGTGGTTTAGTGATGCTAAATTCCTCCCCCCACTCCGCACCCTTATTTAGGACCTGAACGCTGCGAGGTAGATCGGATGGTGAAGGAGATGGTTCTTCTGTGTTGATGTAGTTGATAGCCACTCAAACACGCATTCATGCCTCTGATCTGCACAAGAGCGTTTTACTCTTTACTGTGTTTAATGTCAGTCACAATGGAATTTAAATCTTTGTCATTGTATTATTTCTCAGAATACGTATCTATTGTTTCTAAAAGCTTTATGTTTCTTATTTTTACTTGATTCCTTAGATTTTTGCTTTGAAGAGCTTTGTTTTTATGGTCTCTCAGTATAAGATATGGCTATATACATATTTTGGTACAGAGATCTGTGCTCTGAGGAATGAAATCTATCCTGTTACCTTAAATACCTACTTTGAATTTGTTGAAGGGAAAAAGTGTGCTTTCTGTCTCAGTGCTCTTAAGTAAAACTAAACGTAACAGATGCCAGTTTATATAGCATTGAAGACTATTTCAGAACACTGATTTTCTGGTAGACTAACTTAAAGCATGGATGCTACCATGTCCTAACCAAGTTCTCCATGCAACTGATACGGCACAGAACTGAGCATTCTCACAATGAGCTTTCTGTAAGATGGAGATATTACAAAATGCTGTAGTGACCCTTAGTCAATATAAGCCAAGGAAATTGCAAAAACATGCTTGAGTTGTCTGGTAATGCAAAAAGCAAGGGTAAAGTAAAAGCCATATAAAGCATGTGGTTCTAGGCTCTTCCCTCTCCCTCCCACTTAAAGGGAAGGTTATAAGAGCTGTGAATAATAAATATACGTGATGATAAAAGATGTGTATACAGGTGCCTGTGGTACTTAAATAAGAGGAAAAAAACATACGTTTAAATAACAGTTGACCAAGGTAGGGAAAGGTATAGAGTATATTGGTTTGCTGGGTGCATTCTATTTCTATTGTAAAGGAACAGAAAACTTTAAGAACTTAAATTGTTACTTCTGACGTTTCAAACAAAACCTAGTAAAGTGAGGGTATTGGTTACAAATATTGAATGTTACGTTACAAGTCACTTGCAGTTCTCTATTACATAATCTTGTAAATACGGGGGGGGGGGGGAGAAGGGAAGGGGGAACCCAAACCCCAAATAGTATGTATCTTGGAGTTAGTTCTCTTTTTGTACTTTTAGTAGCAACTTGGAATACAATGGCAATGTTGCTTTTCTTCCCTTATCGAGTTATAGTTGTTTTTTGTAGGCCTGGAGTGGCCTAGTGGGTTAGTTATTGATTAACTATTGTCTCAACATGGTCAGCACTTTGAATTTCAGGTATAAATGACTAAGAGTTTGCATTCATCTCTGATAACAAGTTGGGTATGATCCCAATCCTCTCCTGTTTGGGGAGGAGCTGGATTGCACCTTCAGCAAATACAAGTAGAAAGAGGTGGGGCAGAGAAATAAAAGTACAAATTGCAACATTGAAATGTCAGCTTTTATAACTGTGCAGGAATCTTGGATATTTATTTTTTTAAATGCTGTAGGTGAGCAACAGTAGATGCTGAAGGAATTGCTTGTTTTCTAATATGTAACAGATAAACTGATGTCCAGCTATAAGACAATGGAATCGTAACTGTTTCTCAAGTACAGATGCTAAATGTAAGAGTTTAGAACAACTTTCTAGACTATTCTTTTGAGTTTGATCATCCATGAATTGGCAATCCTGAGTGCATCAGCTGATGGGGGGAAAAAAACAAAACAAACCACTTAAATATATTCTGTGTTGTGTTGATTTTTAAGAAAAATAGTCAATTTAAAAAGGTACAGTGAGATTCCAGAAGAGTCTAATATCCCTACGATATTACCTGTAAATGGTCCCCTTGTAAAAAAAAAAAGTGCAAAACATACTGCAGAAAACCTTTCTATTCTTTCACGTAATCTAGGGTGTTACCTGTAACAGCATACACACAGCTGGAGACGATAGTTCTTTTCCTATCTGTCTTATCTGAGGGACTGTTCTTTGTCTGAACCACCCTTCCTTTTGTACTTTGTGGAATATGTGCTTTTCCTGACTGTATGTAGTTGGTATCCTATCAACTTTTGAAAAATATTAATTGAATTTTGTGTTTTAGGGTAAAATCTTTGGGATATCTTTTCATGCGCTACCACAATCACTTGTGCCAGAATATGGTTATATTCCAAGGTAAATTGACACTTTAAATTTATGCTTACTTTGCTCTCTTTATAGTATTGAACTCTTGTCAGAAGAGGGAACATATTTATTCCAAACCTGCTAAAGCTGATAGGAGATGTAAGAATAGTTTCAGTTGGAGAAGAAGGGATGCAGAAGTTAGATGGGAATTCAGAGCCACAGCTATCATTCAATTGTATTTCTTTATGCTACTTGTCATTGCGGAAAAACTATCCTATATGTGCTTTATCTGTTTATCATTTAATAGCTTTTCTTGGAAAAGATAAATCTTATTCTGAGTATCAGAACTATGTTACCATTTTTTCCTCAGCTTTCTTGTTGATTCTTGTAAGTATTTGGAAGAACATGTTCAGACCGAGGGACTCTTCAGAAAGTCTGGATCTCTGGCTCGTTTAAAAGCTTTAAAGGTATTATTGACAGTTTTGTTTGTTTGGTTTTTTTAATTAAAAAAAAAATAAATCTGCATTTCACTTGGTCATCTGCATGTTTTAGTTTTTGGGCTCCTTTCAGTTATAGTCAAGCTTTAATATTGGAAGTAGACAGGTAATATTACTTCTTTTAGAAATAAGAAGAGCTCTAGTTCAGAAAATGGCAAACTTCACTTCCCCCCTCTCCCTGCTCTGGGAATTTTTTCAGCTTTCTAGACAGCAAAAGTACACTTTGGGATTGAACAAATTTGTTGGCAGTTACACACACTGGATACCATAAGGATATTTGTTTAGCTGTGTTCTCCCAGAAGGATGGGCATGTGTGAAATACATAAATTAACACATGTGGTCTGACAACATTATCTGTGTCTCTTTGTAGATACTGTAGTTAAGTAAAACATGACAAGGCTGAAACTAAAAAAATGGGCAAGTTGTGACTGTTTTCTCTGATATGGGCTAGAGGATTAATTCCTGAACTTAGGAATCTTGATGGTATATTGAAGACTTCAAATCATCTTTCTTATGAACAATTTCAGAGTAAACTGGATCAAGGTGAAAACTGCCTCTCAGCTGCACTGCCATGTGATGTTGCAGGGCTTCTTAAACAGTTCTTTAGAGAGCTGCCAGAACCCATCCTTCCACCTCACCTGCAGGAAGGCCTTTTCAAAGCTCAGCAGCTAGGAAATGAGAAGAAAACTGCAACTGTGTTGCTGTCATGTTTGATGGCTGACAGAACAATCCAAGCTTTGAGATACTTCTTCAACTTTCTGAGAACTGTGTCCCTAAGGTCAGTGTAAAAAGAGTCCTTTTAAAGATTTCCCAGTTCCTTTAATGACTTCTCTTTCCAGGCAATTGCTATAACTTTCTGTGAGTGGTTTATGACTTTATCTGCAGTCATTCTCTAGAATTCAGTTGTGGTCTTTTCTTTCATAAATCCAAAGTGTTACCTTAATGAAACTGTATTTTGCTGGAGGCTAGACTTTGTTCCATTCTTCCATAGCTGTATTCCTCATTCTTGTTTGGAAAACAAAAGGAGTGACTGATAAAATTCATGTAATCTAAGTGGCGCCTTGCGTTCCCCAGAACTGACCAGGGTCTGTAACCTCTTGATTTCAGTAACATAGTTGTGTGGTTACTTAGCCTGGGGTGCATAAGTCTAAACACATTATTCTTGGTATGTAAGTGCTCAAATGAATTAGTCCTTTTTTTTTTTTTCTTTTCCAAATGGTATTTGTCTTATTTGGTGTTTTCTCTCTCCACTGCTTATGTCCTGATAATTTGTGTGAACCCGCAAATTTTTCTTGTGAAGATCCAAAGAAAACAGAATGGATAGCAGTAATCTGGCAGTGATTTTTGCTCCCAACCTCTTGCACTCTAATGAGAATGAAAAGATGTCAGCCAGTACAGAAAAAAGAATTCGCTTGCAAGTTGCTGTTGTGCAAACACTTATTGACCATGCATCGGAAATTGGTAAGGTGATAAATGTTTATCAAAATGTCTTGTTTCACATACTTGTGTACAAGTTTTCAACTTGTAAGGTAACTTTAAAAAAAATATTTCTCAACTAATTCAGGGCAAGTACCAGAATTCATCTTGGAAAAGATTCCTGCAATGTTAGATGTTGATGCCTTTCAATCTACTCCCTCACTGTGGGGCTATGAAGATGGTGAAAATGAATCTCCTACTGAATGCAAGAAGAGGAGGCACCAAAGTGTTGGGGGTAGGTATGTTGTCTGAAAGTTTCAGCAACTAAAATCGAATTATTTTGAAACTTGATGTTTGCTGAATCTAAGCACATGCTGCTTCAACAAGCAGAAGACACTGTGAAATTTGTTGGGTTTGATTTGCAAAATCTATACAAGACCTCAATAATATTTACTGTATATTTACTTCACTTGTATTCTGATGTGTCTGTCTGCCAAGAAAGCTATTTTGCTTGTGCTCAGATTTGTGAAACCAGATTAATATTCTGGCCTTTTTTTCAAGTCCAGATCCTGCTGCAGAATCATAGGATCACAGAATAGTTAGGGTTGGAAAGGACCTTAAGATCATCTAGTTCCAACCCCCCTGCCATGGGCAGGGACACCTTGCACTAACCGGTGTCACCCAAGGCTCTGTTCAACCCAGCCTTGAATACTGCCGGGGGTGGATCATTCACAACTTCTTTGGACAAGCCATTCTAGCGCCTCAACCACCCTCACAGTAAAGAACATCTTCCTTATATCCAGTCTAAACTTCCCTTGTTTAAGTTTGAACCCATTACCCCTTGTCCTACCACTGCCAGAGAGTCCCCCCCCGCATCCTTATAGGCCCGCTTCAGATACTGGAGGGCTGCTATAACGTAAAGGTGTTTTTTTGTTTGTTTTTGTTTATTTTTTGTTTGTTTTTTCTTTTTCTTGATAGTTTTGAAATTATACTTGGAAACTTAGGTATTTAAGTCAGATCATGAGAAGGCAAGGATATAAATGGCATGTGTGTTTTAAATTAAGTAACTATTTTGTGTTTTGAAGCATAACTTTCAATTCAAGTGTTCAAGACCAGGTTGGACAAAGCCTTGGGTGATATGGTTTAGTGTGAGGTATCCCTGCCCATGGCAGGGGGGTTGGAACTTGGTGATCTTAAGGTCCTTTCCAACCCTAACTGTTCTATGATTCTATGATTATCTGATACTGTGTCCTCTGATATGGATGCGTTTGGTTTGGGCATCTGTTTTTTTGGTGTGAGTTTTTTGTTTTTTTTCAGTTTAGCCATTCAGTAGTTTCTTTGTTCTGCCAAATATGGCCAATCAAATGGTATGTTCTCTGTTCTGCATTTTCTTTGAAGAAATATTATGGAACACATATTCTTGACTTCAAATCCACTGTAACACTGATCTTATATGTATTGATACAAAAGTATAAGTATGTATTCAGCTCATGTGCCTGGAATATTAAACAAGACAGCAACTGAATTTAAGGTTTCATTATTGCATATATTTAGCCAAGGTGTGGTGTGGTTGTGGTTTTTGGCTTGTGTTTTTGTTTTTTGTTTTTGTTTTTTTTTTCCTGTGTGTGTAATCTGCTTCTATTTTTATACTGTTAAAAACAGGGTAAATGTAAAACTTCATGCTGAGTAAAACTACTCTGCTGGGTTTAATTTTGCCTTCAAAAAAATAACACCCCAAACAAAAAAAAAAAGTTCACAGAAAAGTTGTATGTTACTTTCATACTTCTGTTTGGGCCTAACTTGAAAGCTGTAAGAGCTTTTCAGCTTCAAGATGACTGTCTAGTAAAGTGTGGAAGTCACTGAGACTTTGAGGAAGACTTGAATGGGTACCTGGTAGGTTTGTCTACAAGAAATCACAAGGCATATAATTTTATAATGACCAGTAGAATTCAATTTTCTACAAGAAACTTCTGTCATCCATGCATGATTTTTTTTTTTCACAGAAAATAGAATTTTTCAGCTACTGTGAAATGAATAAACATCTTTGTGAGAAGATTTATATTTTTCTTTACATAAAGCAAGCATTTAAACTGATTTGTTTTTTCTCTCTGAAAGAATACAAGTTAAACTTGAGTTGAAAATAGAGCAAGACAAACTTCATAATTAAATTTGATTCCTTGCTGTGTCTTGCATTTCAGATATTGTTAGTGGTGCATTGAATAAATTTAAATCTAACAGAACACCATCCACTACACCACAACAAGACAGAAGCGGTAGGTATTGGTGTATTCTTACTAAATAAAACCTATGCAGTATCTTCTGGATTTGTCAACTATTTTATTTTTTTTTTAACTGAAGAACTGGAACTTAGTTGAAGATAACTGATTATGTTTTAAGTAGTTTAAAACTTTGAATATAGTTACATATTTATTGAGGATACTGCATTTACTGTAGTTTTTGGAGCAGCTACAGTCACTGCAGCAGCGGGTGTGTGATTCTAGGATTACAGAACTGAATTTGTGCTTTTCATCTAATGCATGCTAAGGCTTCAGTGCAGTAGTGCAGCATTTTATCATCTTTGGAATTAATTTACCAATACTGAAATTCTTTCACTTCTAATCTCTCTTAAACTTACATAAGATGACAATTATTTCTTTTTTTTTCTTAATACATACTTCCTTCCCCCCCTCCCCCTCCTTATGTTATTAATGTGTAAGTTTGGATTTTCTTTTCTGGTACTCTGCAACAAAACAACAAAATAAAACCAACCCCTAAGCTATACAGATTGCTTTGCCTCTTCAAAATGCATGCACTTTGGCTGAGCTTTTACAACAGTACTCTTTTTTTTAAACTAGAGTTAAATAACAAACAAAACAACCCTCTATTTATATTTTTGTAAACTCTCACCCTTCTAAGTTGTTTTTGCAAATTTGGATTTCTTAATTTCAGTCCTTTCATCTGTGACTCCGGTGGTTCTTACTCCAAGTACCAAACGTAAACTTCCATCTGACTGCTCTCAGGGCTTGTCCAGCAAGAAGAGACGATCTTTAAAGCATAGTTTTGCTTTTGAGTTGTTACCAAGTAGCATTTTCACCAGCAGCTCAACACCAGCATCAGGTACAGTGTCTTCACTTTTCTCTTGCTGCTTGAAGAGGTTGTTTCTGGCTTTTAAAGGTACTGACTTCTGTTCTTGTTAGGCAGTCATTGATAAACTTCACTTAACAATGCTCCTTGCACGACTTCCCTGTCTTAGTCTGTGTTTATGTTCATCATAGAATCATAGAATAGTTAGGGTTGGAAAGGACCTTAAGATCATCTAGTTCCAACCCCCCTGTCATGGGCAGGGACCCCTCACACTAAACCATATCACCTAAGGCCTCATCCAACCTGGTCTTGAACACTGCCAGTGATGGAGCATTCACAACCTCCCTGGGCAACCTATTCCAGTGCCTCACCACCCTAACAGGAAAGAATTTCCTCCTTATACCCAATCTAAACTTCCCCTGTTTAAGTTTTAACCCGTTACCCCTTGTCCTATCACTACAGTCCCTAATGAAGAGTCCCTCCCCAGCATCCCTATAGGCCCCCTTCAGATATTGGAAGGCTGCTATGAGGTCTCAACGCAGCCTTCTCTTCTCCAGGCTTTTCTTTTCCACTGGCTGTTATGTTGTATGGGTTGACCTAAAGCAAAATCTGTTTCTTGTTTTCTGTTCTATTAATCTCTCAAATTTGCCATTGTTATGTTTTTATCTTTTTCAGTCCCTCTGTACCATCTAGGTTGTACTTGCGTTTGTGTCTTAGCACACAAATCCATGAAGACTTCCTGTGCTTCCAACCTTTTTAAAGTTGTAGTCTTCTCTCTCCTAAATACTTAAATAGCAGGTCTTAGCTCTAAGTGAAATGTAATTGTTGCTGTTATAAAAGTTTTTCTTGAATCCAATCACCTCCTGTTTTCTCTAGATCCTAAAAACCCCTCAATCTATAGAGGAAAAAAAAACCAAAACCAAAACACTCGACAATGCTTTAATACCATTTCATTCTACTAGAGTGCTTCCAAGTATTCTGCAGATCCTGTTTTGTTTGGTTCCTTAATGTGGTGCCAACTGAAGTTAGAGTAAAAAGAAGTTTTTGGATTGGCTATGTTTGGTTTTGCCTGAAGATCAGGGCTTTTTTTCCTCAGTTGAGAATTGCTTTGCTTTATTAAACCATTTCATGCTCATCATGAAATTCTTGTTTCTATGGATAAGCAACTAAATCAGTAACGCTTCCCAAAGACAGAAATAATGCATCTGTTTAATTAAAAAATGCTTACTGGAATAGCAACTCTTTCAGTTGTTGTTGATTTAACTGTTCTGGCTAGGTATGCAAAAGAAGCACACTGCAAATAATATTAAGGCTGAATTTAATTTCTCTTATTAAGCTCTTAAGTTTGAGGAACTTATCTGATGATAGTGTGGAAACTTGAGGTAGTAATATCAGTAGCATGCAATTGATTGCATTCTTCTGCTTCTATGAATGCTACAAGCAACAGCTTTGTTTAATATTAAAGAAAAGTGGAAGTCAAAGAAATTTCAAGCCAGCACTCCCCAAAACAAGCAAACAAATCTGTGCTGTTTAAAAATGTATTCCTTATTGTATTAACTTAAATCTTTTTCTGGAAAATAGTGACTATTTTAAGATCATGTAAATATGGTTTTGTTCCTGTAGTTCATTTTGAAGCAAGCCCATGTGTGTGTCTTGAGTCATCACAAATCTCACTGTCTCCTTCAACTGCTGGTGAAAATCATCTGTCTAGTACAGGGAACAGAAGAAGTAAAAGACATGCAAGCAAAAAATTATACAGGTAATTTGCCTTAACTCTCAAACTAAAGATAAATTGGAAAGGTAGGTCTAGAGCCCTTGACTGATGTGTAAAATCTCAGTCTTGTTTGGTGTTCATAACATACCAAATTTTTATAGTATCTTAAAATGACCAGGTTTTCTAATGTGGCAAAATAGAGCTAAGCAAAAGATCTGGTATATTAACCTTTTGTGCCTATTAGGAAAGCTTGTCAAGAAGGCAACAGCAAAAGTAGAACTAGAGGAAATAGCCATAAATAAGTGTCAGTATGTTTTCATTGCTCTCCTAAAGTGTTAGTGTCAGTTGTTCTACTCTGTCCTTCCAGGGCTGAATCAGGAAAGACAGGTTGTTTTTCTCCAAAGATTAGTCGAAAAGAAATGGTTCGTAGGTCATTACGCTTGAAGTTTGGTTTGGGAAAAAGCAACAGAGAAATGGTAAGTATTCTGCTTCTAACCTAGTTGTCTTGTTACTGTGCATATTTTAATCCCAAGTTTTGGGCACTGTAGTTTCAGTAGCAGGAAGGACCTGTTATCAAGGACACGAAGATTTAGGTTTAGTTTCATAGTGCTAACTGCTCAGCTTGTTCTGGGTTTGGTTAGGGGAGGAGACAGATTGGATAGCTGACCTGAACTGACCAAGGAACTGTTTGGTGACAGTATCATGCTCACCAATAAAACCAGGATGGGTTGTTTTTGCAAAGTAGCCACTACTCATGGTTTGCTGAGCATTGGTCTACGTGTCATGAGTGACTGGTTTTGTGTCACTTGTGGGTTTGGTAGTTTGTGGGGGTTTTTTGTCTGGTGGGGGTCTTTTTGGGAGGTGGTGGTGATTTTGCTTCCCCTGCACCTTTTGCCTTTCCAATTTTCTCCATCATACTGCTGGAGAGTGGAGGGAATGAGCAAGTGGCTGGATGGGACCTTACCTGCTAGCTGGGATTGATCTGCCACAATTGTGATCAGTTGGTCTCAGTTTTCTGAAATTCAAATATTGCAGAGCCTATGCACAGAATCACTATGTTCAGAGTGTGGTTAAGCCTGCCTTACTGCAGGTGGGTTGTTCCCCACCTAGGTCTACAGAGAATCAAGGGAAAATGAAGTATAACCAAGAAAAGTCTGCTATGGCTGATTTACATAGCCTTTTCCTTGGAGGTTCCTCTGTAAATGAGATTCCAAATTACAAGTTTATATGAAAGTAATTAATGCCTTTCATTCAAGAATATTGTATCAGGATGTGCAGTTGGTAATAGATCTGAAAATATTGGAAGGCGTCTTGCAAGTCAACAAGGTTTGGAAAACAGAACCGAATGCGCAAAAAAAGATGTACTCTTCAGCCCACGTGTCAGTGAAAAATTCCCTAAGAAAGGTGAGCATCTAACAGAATGCATTAGGTGGGGGAAACTTTCTTTTTTCTAAAGCAAAGGTAACTTTATGAATGAAAGTTAGTGACCTCTGGGGAAAAATAATCAGTTTAGGACAAACTTGTGTTTCTAGTGTATTTTAGTAGTCCTCTTGTTAAGTGAGATGAGATGTGATTTCAGTTCTTAATATTATAATCTTTTTTCATATCTCTAAACTTAAAGAAGCAATAGCATCTTTAAATTCATTGCTGCTTTGATAATTAAGGTTTTTAGCAAGAATTTTGCCTATAATCATTACGATCATGAAACAGCATTCTTAAACACTATGATATTTATTTTAAGGTTCAAAGAATGTGAGCAAGTCAGAAGAAAACTTGCTAACTCCAAAATGTCACAATAAAGTAGTTAATCGAATGTCATGGAATAGTCCTACTGTTGCAGATTCTCAGGTGATCAGCAGGAATGAGGAGATTCTTCCAGGACACTCTAAAATGGGAATCAGTTCTTCAGAATCCATTTTGGTATTTGGAAAGCCACCATTAATTCCAGATGAATTCAACTCCACAGCTGCAAGCAAACAAGACAACAGCTTGCAACTTAGTGAAGAGGAAAGTAATTTGACTGCAGAAACACTGCTGAAAGTTAAGCAAGCTTTCTCTGCATCTGGAAGTAATCTTCACAATTTGAGGGGTGATACAAAGTCTTCCTTCTCAGATGCAGCAGATGAAACATTAAAGGAAACCTTGTGTGTCAGTGGGATCAGTCCAAAGAAAGAATTGTTAGCTGAAGAAGTTTCTGAACATCTAGCGAATACAAAATCCAGAGAGATGTCACACCAATTTAATCAATCTTATGCTGTTGATAAACAGCAATCAAAAAAAGATGAAATTAAACTATTGGGGAAAAGAAACTTCACAACTTCTGTTGAGATTGAACTTCAAGTCCTGAAGCCAGTTATAAAAAATGTAACAGAACTTCCTGTTCCGCAAGTACTGGCCAGGGAAGACAAGTTGGCTGTTCAGAACAGTTCATCAAAAGATGACTTAAATAATTTAGATTCCTTTGGAAGAAAAGAGGAAATAGAATTAATGCACTCACAAACAGCTGAAAACTGTGTGGTAAAATGCTGTAATGTGGAAGAAGGTACTGCTAAATTTCCTGTGGCTGGACAGCTTCCTACTTCAGAGTTGCCTAAATCGCAAACTGAAATAGGCAACCAATACTTGCAAGCTGAAAATTCTGATAAAACTTTAACTAAGCCATCAACTGTTTCTGACCATGGAAAGGTTTCTGACCACATACAATGGTTCAACAAACTTTCATTAAATGATCCGCGTTCTGCAAGCAAAACTAAACCACCTCTTAAGTTTCAACGTACTCCTGTTAGACAGTCTGTAAGAAGAATTAATTCCTTATTGGAGGCTAACAGACGATCTGTAGGCTCTCAGCTGCTTAAAGCGAGTGAGGTTGGTTCACCGCTTGTTAAGTCTTTGAGCTATGATTCTGCACTATTGTCCTGCACAGAAAAGCCCTCAGAAAATTCTGTGGTGTTGCCACTCAGGAGTGAAAGTACACATGACCAAGTTTGTGTATCTCGTAAGCAGCTAGACTTGACATCCAAATCATGTGGCAGGCTGTTAAATCCATCAGACAAGCCTGATGTTTCTGTCAGAACTGCTGGAATCCACGAACAGAAAGTGACTGTTCATTCATCAAAGTCTGTTCTAGAGGATCTAACCAATCAGAGACCAGTGAAATCCAGTTTAAAAGGTAATGCAAATATAAATATTCCAGAAAAATCTACGATCGCAAGAGGTGCTCCAGGAAAAGAAAGAGTTTGTTACAGAGGCTCTCCAAAGAATCCAATATCTAAAGTGAAACTGCTACCAGCTGCAAAACCTATAGACTTGTGAGATCAAATATGATGGTTAATTTGGCTTATTGTAACTTGGTTAACCTCTAGAAAATCTCAATTTGTATGATTAATGTTTTAGCTCTATTTGTCGGGTTTTTTCTTTTTTTTTTGGGTTTTTTTTTTTAATTTTTTTAACTGTATGAGTCAGACTTGCACAAATAACAGTTTATATTGAGGTTTTCTTCATTTACTGAAACTTTTCCAAATATTAGTCAAGTCTACCCAACTGAAATTGACATCTAAAACAAAAATAACCTGGTTTTACAAACATTTGTATTAGGTCCCATACTTGATTATCTCAGCTTCTTAAAACATGCTGCATTTCCCAAAGTTTTTGCAGTATTTAGACTAAGTACAAAGTTGAAAAATTTCTGACATTTAAAACGAAGCTAACAGACATGAGAAAGAAAATGTCTTGATGCTTGTGTATTGGTAGTTAAATTTATCTACTGCTTAGTTTTAAGTGTATTGTAGCACTACTTTGGATCTTATACCAGGTCTACTTCTTTTGAGACAGTGTATATTTATTTCTATTGGAGTAAACTGGGAGAATGTATTTTGACATATGTACACACTGGAGAATTATGGGAACACAGGCAAAATAAATGTGCAGGTCATTTAAGAAGTGACAAATCTTAAAACTTCATCCAGCAATGTGTTCTGCAATAGGTACCAAGTATTTTCAGTTGTGAGCAGTGAAATGTTTTTATCTTAATATGGCAGGGTGGTTTTAACTTATTTTTAGAGCAGTAGAACAGTGTTAAGTAGATGTTGCAGAAGCAGGTTTAGATGCTGATAATGTTGCAAGAGATGAATGTAAGAAGCCATAGAGTTAAAAGTTGATTTGCACAAGCAAATGTTTACATCTTTTGGAATTAGAACTGTTTGTTTGTTATCGGTTGTAAAATTATTTAAGAGTAAACACTTGAAACCGTTCGTTAGCTTTCTGTATGTGCGAATTGCTTATTGGCAGAATGTAAGAGTTGAAAACACTGCATAATTTCGGTTTTAATAAAACCATTGGTGGTGTCCCTTTTCTGACCCTGTTCTTCTATAATGACTTGGAAATTTAGATTATGTTGTCATATGTGAACTGTGGACATCAAAAAGGAGTAAGTTGGAAAATACTTGGGTCAGAAGTGATTCTGTTCTGGCTCTTCATAATAGATACATGTTGGTAAGTCTCACAACTAGCATAAGGATGGTACAACATAATTTAGCAGGAGTAGGCTTCTAAGCCTCTTGTGATATGTTAATGAAAGGAATAGTTCTGCTTGCTTGCTTTCTATTCTCTGCCTCCTTCCCCACATACCCCCAACTTCCTAGCCAGATCAGTTCAGCTCAGTGATCTGATAGAAACCTCCTGCCCCCATCAGCCTAGTTGAGCCTGCCTCCTTTAGTTACTAGATTATTGTCCAGATCTAATACCAGAGAAGCAGTTATGAGAGGGCCTTAACAAGGTTGTTTGATGTTGTGGTTAAGTATTGGAAGCTCCAGTTTAATGAAATAAAGAGCCAATGTTAATAGTTCACCACCATCAAAAGAGGCAGCTGCTTCTTGCCATTGTCAGGAACATGCTCCTACCCTCTGCCTTTGACTGGCTGTAGGCACCAGAGCACCAGATTTTGTATTATATCACTGAGGTAAATAAGGCTCAACAAAGCAATTGCCAGCTGTCATAGCTCACACAGAGGTAGAGATGGAAATAGTACAGAGGTAAAGGAAATATCACAAGGAAGAAAATAAATTCTGAGTCCTGTAATAGCAAGTTGTGATATCAATTTGTGTTTGCAAGAGCGAGCCTTGAGGGGTTTTTCCTCTGCTAATATTTACCAAATATTTTGAATGCTAACGTAGCTTTGGCATGGACAAAGCAGTAACCTATTTTTGATCATCAATGAAAGCTGGTCTTGAACAAGTGCACTTGAACCTTAGGAAGGGAGACTGTGGTAGGTGTCTGACAAACAAGTCCCTTAAGCACCAGGAAAGACTGTCAAAGTTGAGGCTCTGTTTTTAGTTTTACAGAACAGTTCAAGTACACATCCATTTATATAAAGTTTATTTTGGTTTTGAGGGAGATTAGACACTCTAAATGGAGGTCCCTATTGCTTAATCCTGTAAACTGCAGATGTAAGAGCAAAATGAGACAGTAATCTACATTTGAGTGTGTAGTTTGTGGATTTGTTCTCGTTTATGGGGTATAAATCTCAGAACATTTCTGTAGTTATCCTAAAATGTGTCACATTCATGTCAGTAGCAGTGAAGATGTGACATAAAATAGCTTTTAGAAATTACTGTTTTGCCATGTGCTATTAAATGACAGACTCCATTTAGCAAGTTCCTTTTTATAGTTGCCTTTTTATCAGCCTTTGCTATGGGTGGTATACACACGTGCTTAACCTGGAGTCCTCTGCTGCAAGCGCTTAGCGATGGCTGCCGTATTGTTACCTGGCATACCTGCGGTTAGGTAAAGCATCATTCTGCAAGTAGACCATTAATCATATTATTCTCGGGAGAGAAATCACAGCAGGAATACGAACAGTCACGGGGTAATGCCTTATTCCTGTAACAGTCAATCCATCAACACCCTTCAGTTTATTTTTAGACTATTGTGTTTAGCTGAAAGGGGAGATCTCCAAGATCCCACCGAGCTTTGCGTCATCTCCTGGCTGGACAGATCCATGCAGCAAGCACACGGCCGGCCAGGTGCACACCTGCTGCCGGCGTTCTGGCACCGGGGGAACGTGGACGTGGGGCAGCGGCTGCGCACGGAGGATGCGCGGCTGCGGAGTCGCCGCACACGCAACGTAGCGCCAGGAGGGGGAGGTGAGCGCGGCGCTCCCGGAGCCGCTGGGGGCGGCAGGGTCTAGGGCGGAGCGGGGCTGCCCGGGGGGAAGGGGGGCTTCTGCGGCGGCTGAGCCACCCTGGGTACTGGGGGAAGGGAAGGGTAGGATACACAGCCCAGCTTTCCACGGACGCAGCTCGGAGGTGCAGGGTGTGGGGGCAACGGAGCGGCAGCCCTGCTCGGGTGCGTGTTAACGGGGGATGTTTTGTAGAAAGCAGGCTTTTCCCCATCTACATCAGAAAGACGCGGCTCGACTCCCGTGCAGCGCTCTGCGGCACAGGCGGATAGGGCGCGATGGGCGAGGTGGGGTGTGCTGTCCTGTGCTGTGCTGTGCCGTGCTCTGGTGGAGCCGTGCACTGGCGTATTGGGAGTATTTCCAGCCTTGGCTCTTTCAGCCATTTTTGTTTCGAAGACGTTTTTCAGGTGCGTTACGTGGGGTGGCGGGAGCAGTGGAGCATCTTTAAACGTCTGGCGTGCAGATATCGGGCAGCTGTGTGTTTTTAAGGAAGGCAAGGGGGACCGCAAGGATTTTTGTTTATTCAGGAGATTGGAAGTGATGCATTTCAATTATTCTCTGATGCGAGGGGAAACGGAGTTTTAAGAAACAAGCGTTCTGGTTAAAATTCAGCTTCTCAAAGAGCATAGTAAGTGGTGCTTGATATATATATATATATATGTTTGGTTTTTTTTCTTTGCCCAAATAAACTGTACTGCGCAGCCGTTTAGTGAAAGGACAAAAATGAAAGCTATTTGCTGCAGGCGGGGAAGATGATGCATATGAAGCAGACAGCCCCTTGTCTTAAGGTACCAATAAAATATAATCCAGATTGTTCAGCAGTTTCGAGTGATTAATTTTTCAGAGCTTGGAAAACACAGTTCCAGGATGAAGAGTTTTTTGCTTTTAGCTCAGAACTTTATAAAACAGAATAAACGGGAGGGGACATGTGTGGTTAAATAGAACAGTGGACCCATTTTGTTTGCCGTGACTGTAAATGAATGCTGTGGGCAAGCACAGATCAGAAAATCTGTTTCTGCGGTTTGCTACTGTATTTTTTTTTTTTTTTTTAGAAGAGAAGAACCCATCCACCCTGCTAGCCCTGCTCCTCCTCTGGTTTTCCCCTGGCTAGATTTTCAGCTGCCCCTAGAAGCTGTGGTAGTAGACTATGCGGTAGTATACATTTGTGTATGGTAGTAAGAGCAGAGGTTATTTCCAGCATGCGTACTGGACTTTTTTCCCCACTATCATTTATAATCAAATTCCTTTCTTTTTTCACAGGATAAAAGTGGGCTGCCAGAATGACACCTGCCTTGCTTTGTAACATGGTATTTCTGCTGGCATTTGGATTGGCTTCAGCTTTTAGCACAGCCCTAGGCTCCTGACAGGGTTTCTGAAGCAGATATCCAGAGGCTCCTCCATGGTGTTATGGAGCAATTGGGCATTGCCAGACCCCGGGTAGAATATCCAGCACACCAGGCTATGAATCTGGTTGGTCCGCAGAGCATTGAAGGTAGGTAATTTCTGCTTTGAGTTATGACTAATTTAATAATATTTTTTTAGCAATAATTGCTGGTTTGCATATAGATGCAAAATATCCTGAGCTTAAAACCATGGACTTTTCCACCATTTTTGTTGTGTGATCTTTATTTTAAAATCATCATCCATCTTTTACCTTCCATAATGTAATGATTTCGGCAGAAGAAATGGTGTATTTTTTTAATGTACAGGCTTTGTAGAGAAATTCTGCTGTTTTAGAAGCATTTGCTCTCTAGTACCTCAAAACAGTGGGTTTACTAAACTCTGCAGCAATGTGTATACTGGCTAATAATTCGGTGTGCAAGTCCTTAAAAAATATACAAGATAATAGAAGGGAAAACTAAGGGGAAGGGAAGAAAGAAGTTTAACAATATTTGGAATATGTCAAGGCAAAATAGAGTTTTCATCCCAAATACCATCATGGCAAAGTGATAAATCACTAGCTACTCTTCTGAGGTGCTGCCTTCATTGGAAATTTTTACCTGAAACTAGTGGAAAGTAAAATTGGGTGTGAAATTCCCTGTTATGAGCAATTCTAAGCTGCTAGGAGGGTTGACTTCCAGCCATTTATTGGACTCTAGGTTGCAGTGACCAAAGCAGACAGTTTAAAACCTGGTTCATCCCTTGCCAGCATCTTCATAATCAACCCATTGACTGTTCTGGAGTACATCTGTTTCTGATTTTGACCAGTTATTTAATCTCAGCATTAAAAAACCTTTATCAATCAGAGCTTAATAATTTTAGTGTGTTCCTACAGAAAACTGGTTTAGTTAACAGAATGTTTTTCTTCAGAAATTGCCCCAGCAGAGTTGACCTGGTAGTGTTGATAGTTGCAGGTAACAACAGCTTCAGCCAAGCCAGGACTCCAGAAGTACCACTGATTTTGAAAAGGCCAAGATTTCACCTGTATATGTACACTTGCAAACAAGGTGCTGCTGGGAAAAATTAATTCTTCTGGCTTTGGAATTTGGAGACATAATATAGATAAGTTTATACTAGCAGCCTGGTTATAATAAAATGTTTGCAAATCTAAGTGATTGTTATAATAAACTTTTCCAGCTGAGTAAGATCTTAATTCCATATATCAAAAAATACTGTTGCTGTTAGTTCATAAGCATATTTCTTAATTTGCCCATTTTCCATCTCAGCTATTTATGTCTTTTCTGATGTTAATCATATTTTGACTTTAAAATGTTAAAAACCACATGATGGATAACTTGCAAAGAATGATACATGGTTATTCTGCCCCGGTCCCACAGAAAAATAAAAATATGCTTAGGGCTGCCTTGGCTGTAGTAAGTGAAGTCACAAACTTGCTCTGTACCAAAGACAGCTGAAAGATAAACACTTTTCATGTGTTCTGTTTCCTAAGTGACCAGATTTCTTATTGATAGATAGAAAAAGTATGGCTTGTTAATTGAAAGAAGTTGCTGCATTTTCTTGTGTTGAAATCCAGAAATACATGTTTGTTTGTTTGTTTTTATTTTTCCTTCCCTTTGCATTTGTCAATTTACCTGTTACCTCAGGTCAAGCTGCTGAAATAGGAGTAGAGTCTAGAAAATGCCTGATAAAGAGTTTAATCCACCAAGAAATTCCAATGTAGTTCAAGCTGTGTGTAACCCACGGGGAGGTTGGAAGTCCAGAGGAGTGTGAGTGGTGTGGCTTTCCCCTCTCTTGGTGGCAACGAGAGCTGCCTGGTGAGGACAGAGCCTGTAGGGAAGTGCAGCAGCAGCCTGAGCTCCTCTCCCTTGCCAGGGCTCTGTTAGCTGTCTGGAAGCAGTTCACGGGATAAATATGTCACAAAAATGGGAGTTTGCTGGCTGATTCCCTGCACTTGGGTGTCGCAGCCAGCAGATAGTGCATGGCATGTAAGCACGCAGAAGCCAAACAGATCCTTCGTGATGAGTGTCAAGTGAGGATGTTTTTAACACCCGAGGTGGTATCTTAGAGGCAGCTGGTTTTTGCTGTCCAGTTAATAGATTTTCTTTCTTCACATCCTGATTCCTAAAATAAACCCATGTTAACTACTTTAATTTCTCTGATATTAACTCTCCTTGTTAATTTGTCTTTTCAGAAAACTATTGTAGCGTAACTTAGCGCTACTTACAAAAAGAGCGGAAAAAATAGAAAAGCAAATGAATTTTTGTTGAGTAGCTGTGTTTCTGTAGTTACTCTTTAGTCGTTTACTCACTAAAATACTGTACAAGCACCACTGGGCTACATTCAGATTTTCTATAAACACGAAGGAGACTGTATCTGTGTCAATAGAGAACAAAGGAATAGCATAAGGAAATAGCTTCAACATTTCAAAAATATACAAGTTATTTTTTCTGCCTGTCAGGGGGTTTATTGAGTTAGAGAGCACATGTTTTTTTGTTTTCTTCCCTTGCATGCTTGTAAGTGTATTTCAATATTTAAAGGGTTTTCTTGGGGGGAGGGGCGAAGGAATATATGTGTAATGCGGCTTTCAGGACTATTAAGCCAAGCTTGGGAGAACAGTGAAACCTCACTTAAACGCATGGGGGCACCTTTAGCTCAGCTTGGGCAGTTCATAGCAATTCACTTGTTAATGGGAAATGTGGTCTTATTTTCTTCTTGCAAATATGATCTCCTTACATTTTCATTGTCTTCTGTACAATTCAGTACAACGGAAAACCTCTTGGGTGGCTTGTTTGTTTTGTTTTTATTTCTTAAAAATACTTCAAACAAGATGATGGTTGATGAAAGTGCTGGCATGACAGCCCAGAGCTGCAAAAGAGCTGTAATGCTGTCAGCCTCAGTGACAACATTAAATGATGTGTCTTAAATCCTAATTGTTTGTAGGAATGAGAAAATAATTATGCCTCTTTGGGATGCTTTTGACTTTCCTTCAGACCCTGCTTATAGCTGCTGAGAAAAGGCTAAGGTTTATTTGATTATTTTGAAAGGAAATACATATCCGATTATTGATTTAGAAGAAGTTAGTTACTGTTTGCCTGGTTGAGACTGTTAAAGTCAAAAGAGGCTGAAACATTATGCTAATATTTCTTCTAACAACTGGTAGTTAATGACTTGTCAGCGCAGACTGTACAAATAGCGCTTTGCATGAAAGTTTTACTCCCTGTAAAATTATGCAATTACTCATGTGTGTTAATGTCTATTTTGTTTCCATTTTCCTAATAAGAAAACTGAGTGCCGGGTTACTTTGCTGTCTGGCCTGTAACATACTTACAGAACTGCTACTTGTTTCCTGCAAGAACAGTAAAATCTTATTAGAAAGTTGCCAAAACTTTGCTTATGAATGTACCCAGTGAAAGTGGTACAGAAATTATGTTTGCACTCCATTGCTTTTGGGCTAGAGTGTGCTGTGCTTATGCCTGAATATATTTGGACTTCACTGGGTGACTAGAAGTAATAAGCATTGACACATGGGAGTATAATGTTTGGGGTCGGCAAGCATGGCAATGTGATGGCTGCATCCTCTTTGCTCTAGTTTACATCTGCTGTGCCAGCATCTAGGGTAGCAGTGATGGAGTCCCTGGGCTGGCAACTTGCCATAGGGCTGGGCAGACCTTCTGCTGCTTCAGGGCCACTTTGTCATGTCAATTTAGTGCAGAGAGACCACACGATCATTTGGGGTTTGGATTACTGCACCTGTTTTATAGAGAAAGTCGTCTTGTACTTAGGATGTAAATTAACATGCACATTGGGACTGCTTTTGCTGAAGCACGTGTGATCTCAGTCTAATGCTGCATTACAGGCCTGACATTTAACAAACAAAATCATACCACAATATCACTCTACTAGTCTCTGCTTTCAGTTGTGGGGGGTGTCTTTGGTTGGTTGGTTGGTTTTTGGGTTTGGTTTTTTTTTTTTTTTTTTGCAAATTACTGAAATAGCCCAGAAAATATTATTTCAAAATTTAATAGAACATCTCAAATTTGTAACATAAAATGAGAATGGTAAAGCCTCACTTTTCATCCATTAATACGGTAGACATCTGGATTTGTATGGGCCTGACTAAGAATTCCTATTGTTTTCTTTGTATTTTATTCCCCAAACTGTAATGCCAAATGTAACCAGAATTTGAGTATCAGGCAGTGGTACATGTCATAAGAGAGGTGACTTCAAATGATAACCCCTGAATTTAAAAATTGGTGACACTGCCAAACAACTGTGGTGGTTTACAGTGAGTTTTCTTTATCTAAGTGGTATGGCACAGCTCTGTGAAGAAAATATGAAATGATTATACCTGTAACTCCAAAACCAGGAAAATAATGACTCAGTATGCCTTTGTTTGTCCTTTAACAAGGAGAAGCGATTGAAAATTTGGCCCGTAATGCTTCCATTTGAATGTATAAAGCATGACAAGCAGTGAATAATAAGAAAGCAAAATGGGTGTTTGTATTGCTATGTGGAGGTGGTATCATGTTACCTCGAGGTGTTTGACAGCTTTCCCTCTTGAGGAGCAAGGGCAAGATCCAGTGGAGGCAGTGGTCGTTACCGCTGTGATCTCTGCCACTTCTCAGTTTCAGGAACTGCCTTCCTCAATGCCCTGGTGCTTCAGGAAGTGCGTAGACACTGCTCTTGTCTCCTTGGTGTGTCTGGGGAGAGGCAGGGAAATTTCTCCAAACTAATGTGCTTGTCAGAGAAGTCAGTCAATGGCACGTGCAAGAAGAAAAGTGCATTAAACCCTCTTTCTGTCCAGATCTGTTATTTGCATGTGGTTCTGACTTGGGGGACTTATCTTTAAGGATGCCATCAAAGGTGAAAGCCATTTGAGATGGAACCCTTTCAGGGAAGAAAGGTGGCCGATCTGTAGGGATTTAGAATTAAGTAGGTTATCTTACTTAAAGGTAGCTAACCAATTAGAATGGGATTTGTAGCATTTTTGATTTATTTTTTACATGTTACTAGAGGGAAATAATTCGGTAACAGAGGTAAGAAACCTGAGGAGAGGAGGGAATATGATAGCTTCTGTATTGTCTCATGGTT